TTTTCATTATTTTTTTCATTTCTATAAAAAATCATCATTAATTATTATGTAATATCACCAAGTCTATTGTTTGAGTCATCCAAATTCTTTGGTAACTCATATATGCATAGGAGTGCAGACTTGCCAAAGAAAACTTTGTTCGGATTGCTAATATCTGCACTAAAATACTATAGAAGGAAAACTTATAATTCCTTTTTCGATACTAATAAAACAAATTTAAGAAAAAATAGAAGAATTTTAATTAAATGATCCACTCCGCCTAAATCGAGCTAAATAAGAATTCAAACAAGCAATTTCAAAAATGCAATAAACATTTTCAGCTTTGATTGGTGAAATGAATGATTATTCAGAATAAATATTTAAAGCGATTGAAGAAATGGATTAATAGTTATTAGAGTTATTAAGTTAGAATATACTAGATAGTAGTAATTCTGATTTATAAAAAATATCGCAAATTCTTGAATTTGATCAACTCAACTTGTGGTAATAATAAAAGCAATATTGTTATCAAATTCTTGATGAAAACAAATAAAGTCTGATAAATATTTGCGAACAAATAGCAGTCAATTTAAGAAGAAGACTTAAAACTACATATTCCCAAAAAATAGGGTATGTCTTTGTAATAAGTAAGGCTTGATGGTTATGAAAGTTCTAAATTATTTGGAATTTATCACGATGAGTATATTTGCATAAATAACGAAGTTCTTTCAAAGGTAAATAACTTGATAATATTTAGCAAGGAACAATGAAGTTAAATGAAAGAAGAGGGTTGATTGAAAAATTAGGGTTTTCTTAAGAGAAGAATAAATTGAGGGCTATTTAGATTGAATTTTAATAAGGACGAATATGTTATATAGCCGATGGAAAAATATTAAGAAAGTATGACATTGTGATTTAAAAAGAGAATCTTTTAAATAATTAAGTTCAACAAATCAGATAATTACTAATTATGACTAATTACTTAAATTGAAATGGGTAACAGAAGAAACTGAAAACCCAATAAAAAAATGTTAAGGCTATTGGGAAAAAGAAAAAGTAGAATTAGGAGGTTTTTATTATTAAAAAGGGAGAAAATAGGGTCTTTGGATGGTGCCATGCAGCAATTATAGGTTACTCAAGGAATATATATAGTATTCAACTTCAAGTAATTTATGAAGGAGTTTACGTTGATGGGAAAAAATATGGAAATTGGAAGATAATGAAGAAAAATAAAAAATAATTTGACACAATGTAAATTTTAAATCTTAATTGAAGTGGTGGAGGAAATTATAATCAATCTGAAGAGAAATAAGGTTAATGGACAGAACTAAATGACGAAGTATTGCCACAAGAAAATTAGTTGATTCTTAACTGTGGCAAATATAAATGTGGACATAAAATAGGATGGTGGAAAAATTATAGATATAAAGAATCCATATTTACAAAAAATAAATTAATGTCTTGATATTATTATTCTTAGTGGTGGAGGAGAGTTTGAAAATGGAGTAAAAAATGGAAAATGGATAGAGATTCATTACAGCTTTACAAAGTAATTATCATATATTTACCTAATTTACAGGGCATTTTAAGTCACCTATGCTGGTTTATATAATTATGGGTTAAAGATTGGTAAATGGGATATCTTTTTAAAGTAAAATAATGATGAAAATGTAATAATGTATGGCATTAAAATTAATATGAAGTGGAGGAGGCTTTTATAATGATTTTGGTTAACAAAATGGAGATTGGAATGAATTAAGTAATTACTTTCATTAATTCCATTTTATCATATGCTGTGGAAAATTTAAAAATGGAAATAAATCTGGTAAATGGCTGATTTAACATAATATTAATGAATAATAAAAAATCATGTAAATTGATATTTATTAGCATTAAAAGTGGCGGTGGCGAATATGATTTATAAGGATTAAAGCATGGAGAATGGATTGATATATTTTAGAATTATGCTCGGTAAATAAGAAAATATATAAGATATTCTGAAATAACATTTAAAGGAAAATACAAAAATGGATTAAAATAGGGATAATGGGACATTATGTTTAATAATGATAAAATGTATAATCGATTTTCAACCCTATTAGTGGTGCGGGTAGTTATGATAAAGATGGAGAAAAATGTGGAAAATGGACTGAAGTTCATGAAAAATTTAGTACATAGATGTGTTCTGTTTTGTTTGTCAGAGACTATAAACATGGGGAGAAGAATAAGAAGATGGCCAGAATATAAAATAAACTTAAGG